TAGTGTGGGGCCCAAAACTGGACACAGTACTCCAGATGAGGCCTCACCAGTGCTGAATAGAGGGGAATGATTACGTCTCTTGATTTGTTGGCAATGCTTCTACTTATACAGCCCAAAATGCCTTTAGCCTTCTTGGCAACAAGGGCATGCTGTTGATTCATATCCAGCTTCTCGTCCACTGCAACCCCTAGGTCCTTTTCTGCAGAACTGCTGCCTTGCCACTCAGTCCCTAGTCTGTAGCAGTGCATGGGATTCTTCCATCCTAAGTGCAGGACTCTGCACTTATCCTTGTTGAGCCTCATCAGATTTCTTTTGGCCCAATCCTCTAATTTGTCTATGTCCTTCTGCATCCTATACCTACCCTCTAGTGTATCTCCCAGTCCTCCCAGTTTAGTGTCATCTGCAAACTTGCTGAGGGTGCAATCCACGCCATCCTCCAGATCATTAATGAAGATATTGAACAAAACTGGCCCCCAGACCAACTCTTGGGGCACTCTACTTGAAACGGGCTGCCAACTAGACATGGAGCCATTGATCACTACCTGTTGAACCTGACTATCTAGCCAACTTTCTATCCACCTTATAGTCCATTCATCCAGCCCATACTTCTTTAACTTGCTGGCAAGAATACTGGGGGATACAGTATCAAAAGCTTTGCTAAAGTCAAGTCACTTTCCTCTAAGTGCTTCAGAATTGATTCCTTGAGGACCTGCTCCATGATTTTTTCAGGGACTGAGGTGAGCCTGACTGGCCTGTAGTTCCCCAGATCCTCCTTCCCTTTTTTAAAGATGGGAACGACATTTGCCTTTTTCCAGTCATCCGGGACCTCCCCCAATCGCCATGAGTTTTCAAAGATAATGGCCAATGGCTCTGCAATCACATCCCTCAACTCCTTTAGTACCCTTGGGTGCAGCGCATCCAGCCCCATGGTCTTGTGCTTGTGCAGTTTTTCTAAATAGTCCTTAACCACTTCTTTCTCAACAGAGGGCTGGTCACCTCTTCCCCATACTGTGCTTCCCAGTGCAGTAGTCTGGGAGCTGACCTTGTTCATGAGAACAGAGTCAAAAAAGCATTGCATACATTAGCTTTTTCCACATCTTCTCTCACGAGGTTGCCTCCCTCGTTCAGTAAGTGGCCCACACTTTCCTTAACCTTCTTTTTGTTGCCAACATACCTGAAGAAACCCTTCTTGTTACTCTTAACACCACTTGCTAGCTGCAATTCCAAGTGGGATTTGGCCTTCCTGATTTCACTCTTGCATTCCTGAGCAATACTCGTATCTGGGTGGGAGACAAGGGTGAGGAAATGGAGGATGTGAAGCATGAGCATGTAGAGGTGTTTCCTTGGCGCAGTCCGGCAGCGAACCAGCTGCAAATCATTCAGCCGGCTCACGGTGTACAGGTGGGAAGGTCGGGGCTGCCCTCACCTCCATGAAAAGCGGAGAGCCCCATGTGCTGAGCGAGCATCAGGGGTTCCACCCAGTCTCTCTGGTCGTAGTCTAGGAGGTCTCTGACTCTGGTGAGGTGGAGGAGGGGTAAAATAGGTGTAAGGATTAGAGAGAAGAGCCAGGAACTCAGTTTTAATCTCAGCTGTATTGAGGCTGTCATCTTGGGCATCCCCTGAACTGCCCCTTCTATTTCCCACCTCTAAAATGGGGATACTGCCTACTTTGCTGGAACGAAGTTTGGGGAACAGGATTAATTTGTATAGTGTTTAAAAAGGAAAGTACTATAACTGAATTTAAGTTGCCTTCTTACTGGGGCCCTATTTCTGGGATGTTACCTTGTGTGAGTGTAAAATGATTTCAGCTTTTCATAGGCCATCTATAAATTAACATCCTATTTTAATGATTACTTTCTGCTGCTTCTCAACTTAATGAATTCAGTATAATTCACTGCAGTTCTCAGTGTTGCAGAGGAATGGTTACTTCTAAAAATAAACTGTGTGAGACTACATAGAATTACTATTGATCATAACAGCTTTATTCCAAAACCTCCCTTTAAGGCCATTTTAGAGTTCGATGTCCTTTTGAATTGAATATTTAGTTCAGTCCTAGCACTGTACAAGTGATATAAAGGGGAGTCTTTCTACAAAATACTCAGCAGGGATTGTACTTATCTAATAGAAAAGGCTTGATTGCCAGAATTCCTCTTTTGCTAGCAACAATGAAGAAACCCTGAATGGCCTCCCAGGCCGCTGTGAGATAGTCACACAGGGGGAAGGAGGGCCACTAAGGGAGTTGAGGATAAGATTGAAAAAGGAACTAAAAGTTAAAAGTGGAAGTTAAGGATGGTACCATCTGAGGCTTGCTTTTTTGTCAGGGAGGGGATAAGCTTAAGGAGATATGATCTAGTGGTTTTCTACAAAAAACTTATTTGGAATCAAGTTGTACTGCATTAGGTGTAACTGCATGATAATTGCTACCATGTGTTCCCTTCCCCTTTAGTAATAAGCGTATTACCTTCAATTTGACTGAAGCTTCAGCTTCTGGCTCATGCTGTCTCCTGGATACAGGGAAGAGAAGCCCTATTCATTGTGTAAAAGCATCAGTAAAGAACTTTTAAAACAACCCATCTTCCATGTAAAGTATATCTTTCTTCTTTGTAGTTATGAACTGCAGCTTTAAGAATGAGTTACTTGTCCTGATTAGGTTCAGTTCACACCATGCAAAACTGAGGTGCACATTGTGCTGTACAACTGGGATGGGTAGAGCTCTGCATTGTTGACTTTCATTTGTGTTGATGCTACTTTACATAAGTTTGGGTTTGCCCCAATTATGCACATTACCATCACTACTATCCTTGCAGGATGGCAGGGCAGATGTGTATAAGTGTCAACGTTTAAGATGGATTCAGCTTTGCATTTCAGAGCTAAATTCTGTCCCCATGGTAGACAATGAATGAGGTTACATGTTGTGACAGAGAGTTCAGCTTGCAGACTCTTGCTGGTGGTGATAAGCCAGTTGCAAGGACCCCAAGTGGATTTTACATGTTAATTGAGTAAGTGTGCCATTTCTAGAGAACAAAACTAAATTTTTAGTCCCCTCCGAAAGGAGAAGCCTCCCATTTAGAGTTCAGAATTGATTTACCCCCCTACGTAGTTACCAATACTGCAACTCTACTTTTACAATATTACCTCCTTGAAACATTTTATCTAGCCTGCTATACAGAAA